GTCTCGTCCGATGATTCCAAAGGACAACTCGCCCTTCCCTTTCCCTCCCTGAGCACCCCCTCGCCATGCCCTTCAACTTTGGCGGTGGTGGTGGTAACAACCGTTTCGGGTTCGGTGGTAACAATGCCGGTGGTGGTGGTGGTGGTGGTAACCGCTTTGGCTTTGGTGGTGGTGGTGGTGGTGGCGGTGGTGGTGGTACCCAGTTTGGCTTTGGTGGACGCTCCGGTGCTGGCGCGGGAGCTGGTGGCGGGAACAATCGGTTTGGCTTTGGTGGTGGTGGCGGTGCTGCTGGTGGTAATCGGTTCGGTGGTGGTGGTGGTGGTGGTGGTAGTCGTTTCGGTGGTGGTGGTGGTGGTGGCTTTGGCCGCGGTGGGAATGCTCTCGTCGGCACGGGTCAGCTGCCATTCAAGCAGACGCTCATCAGAGACTCGGACGGCAAGTCGCAGTACCTGCAGAACATCTCGGCTATGGCAGAGTACCAGACAAAGTCGGCGCTGGAGCTGCGGTGGGAAGACTACTCGGGCCAGCCCACCGCGGGTGGTGCGGCTGCTGGCGGCGGCGGCGGCGGCGGCTTCAAGTTTGGCGGTGGCGGCAACAACGCCGGTGGCAGCGGCTTCAATCGCTTCGGCGGCGGCGGCAACAGCAATGCCAACGGCGGCGGTGGCTTCAACCGTTTCAGCGGCGGTAACAACAATGCTGGTGGCGGCGGCTTCAACCGCTTTGGTGGCGGCGGCAACAACAACGGCGGCGGCGGCGGCTTCGAGTTTGGCGGCGGCGGCAACAACAACAACAACAACAACGGCGGCGGCGGCGGCTTCAACCGGTTCGGCGGCGGCGGTAACAACAACGGACGGCGGCGGCTTCAAGTTTGGTGGCGGCGGCAACAACAACAACGGCGGCGGCTTCAACAAGTTTGGCAACAACAACAACAACAACAACGGCGGCGGCGGCTTCAACAAGTTTGGCAACAACAACAACAACAACAACGGCGGTGGCGGCTTCAACAAGTTTGGCAACAACAACAACGGCGGCGGCGGCGGCTTCAAGTTTGGCAACAACAACAACAACAACAACGGAGGCGGCGGTGGCTTCAAATTTGGCAACAACAACAACAACAACGGCGGCGGCGGTGGCGGCTTTAAGTTTGGCAACAACAACAACAACAACAACGGCGGAGGCGGCGGCGGCTTCAACTTTGGTGGCGGCAACAACAACGGCGGCGGACTCTCGTCCGACCAGATGCAGCAGGTTGTCGAGGCCGCAGTCCTGGCAGCCATGCAGGTCAACGCCGGCAACCAGATGGCGACGAACCCGCCGGCCAAGGTCGGGTTCAACATTGCTGAGGCTGCACCGGTGGAGATCCCCAGGGAGGACATCGCGCTTAACAAGCATCCGTTTGGGCTCAACCCGCTGTTTGTCCCGTCGTCGACCGACCCCAAGAAGCTGGGCAACCTCGGGACGCCCGCCAAGCTCGAGACCAAGAGTGTGACGAGCTCGGTCTCGACGCCCAAGACCAAGATCGCGCCGCCCAAGTACGCGTCGGCGCCGCGACCGGCGTCACGTATCCGCCCGCGGCTGTACGGCCACGCTTCGCTCCTCGCCTCGTCGCCGCGCGACGACATGCTCCGCTCCTCGCGGCGGCCGTTCCATGACTCGCGCCCGTCGTCGGTCAAGCAGCTCTCGCTCTCACGGGCCGGCTCGGCCCCGCCGCCGCGCAGCGCTGCCGGCGCGATGGGAAGCTCCCCGGCAAACGCGTCGTTCAGCCACCCCTGGGCTCGCCGCTACCGCGACGACCCTGGTCGCAGCTCGAGCATTCACCGCTCATCGGCCTCGCCCAAGGCCCTGCACCGGCACTCGCCACTCCGTCAGTTCCCGTCGGACGCATCCACCCCACACGCCGGGCTTCCCAATCCGCCCCGACGCTCGGCCAAGGAGATCAAGCTCTCGCGCTCGCCGCCGGCCCGCTCGCCGCCGGCCCACTCGCCGCAACTCGATGCTGTGGCGGGCACTCGCACACAGTCCAACTACGTCCTCGACGTCCGCCCGTTTAAGCTCACCAAGGAGGGCTACTACACTCGGCCGACCATGGAAGAGTGCGCCACGTTCTCGGAAGACCAGCTGCGGGCTGTCAACGACTTTGTTGTCGGCTGCAAGGGCATCGGCTGGGTCAAGTTCCTCGGCCCGACCGACATCCGCGGCCTCGACCTCGATGCCATCGTCATCTTCGAGAACCAGGCTGTTACCGTTTACCCAGACGCCGCCGCCAAGCCCTCGGTCGGTTATGAGCTCAACAAGCCGGCTCACATCGGTCTGCATACCTGGCCCATCGACAAGAAGACTGGCCAGCCACTCGAGCCGCAGAAGCGGACGGCAAAGGTCATCGAGCGCCACAACACCAAGCTCCGCCTCACCTGCGACGACATGGGTGCCATCTTTATCAACTACGAGGGCGGCCTCTGGGAGTTCCAGGTCATCCACTTTACCAAGTACGGTCTCGCCGACTCGGACGAGTCTGACTCGGATGACGACTCGTCGTACTACGACGACTCGTCCGCAGCCGGCGACGACGATGCCAACGGCTCCGGCTCCGGCTCGGGCTCGGGCTCGGGCTCGGGCTCGGACTCGGGCTCCGCCGCTATGTCCGCGCACAAGTACCCGGCCACCCCGGCCCAGACCCGCAAGCCTGCAGTCTCTGCGGTCTCGACCGGCAAGCGCTTTGGCCTGTCACCGATGTCAGACTCGGCGTCGTCGCTCTCGGACGATGGCTCGGGTGCGGTTGGCATGGACGTCGTCGAGCAGGTGGTCCGGCTGGCGGCGAGCCCGGGCCCCGAGCCCGCGTCGGGCATGGAGCCGCTGCCGGCGGCGCTCAAGCACTCACCGACCAAGACTCACCTGATGCAGGCGACTTTTTTTGGCGGTGACGACTCGGAGGACGCGACGGGGCCTGCGCCCGGCTCCGCGCCCGGGCCGGCACCGATCTTTCCGTGGGCGCGGCCTGCCGGCGGTGTGAGCACCCCGAGCCGAGGCTCCCCAGCGCCGGCGACGACGCCGGCGCCTGACGCTTCGCGAGTGCTCGGCGGGCGGGTCGCTGTCTCGTCGCCGTCGTGGACCCAGTACGGCTCGCCGCTCAAGCCGGCCGGGAACGGAGCTGCGGCGTCGCGGCGTACCGCCGCCGCGGTCCGCGTTGCTGAGCAGTCGGCGCAGACTGCTGCCGAGGTCGCAGCCTCTGCCGCCTCTTTTGTCCCGCGCGACCACGTGGCGCCGCCGCGCGAGGCCTCGCTTGCGCACGGGCTCGAGGGCTCGACCTTCGACGCCGGCTTGGCCATGGCACGCTCGTTCCGAGTCTCGTGGGGCCCTGGCGGCTTGATTGCCTTTCCGGTGGTGGGTCGGGTGGCCCAGCGCGGGGCCGGGTCGGCGGCGTCGCGGCTGCTTGACGTCGGCGGCGCCAAGGCGGGCGTCTATGGCGGGCCGTCGTTTTTCAACGCCAAGGTCACGCGGGTGGTGGTCAATGGCGACACCGGAGTGGTGGCGTCTGGCTCGGCTGGCGACGCGCTCGGCCCGCGGACCCTCGACGAGATTGCCGGCTCGGACGCGCTGCGGCCGTACCTGGTCAGCTTCCTGGAGCAGTACGACAAAGCCGAGTACGCCGAGGCGTGGGTCGCCATGGGCGCGTACGCTGCTTCCGGCGACGAGGCTACACGGTCGTCGCTTGGCGTCGCACTCTACGCGCGGTACGTCGAGTGTGCCACCGCATCACTTCCCGACGTCGCGATCGCCATCGAGCGCCACGCGCGCGCCGAGGGCCTCACCTCTGAGGCGGTGATGCGGTCGGCGAACGTCTCGCTCTTTGCGGGCGTCCGCGGCATCGTGGGCGAGTTCCTCAGCTCGGCGTGGATTGGCGCCTTTCTGGACTCGGACGAAGGTGCGGCCATGTCTGCCGCCGCGGCCGTCTCGCGCGAGTACCTCCCGCTTCTCGAGGTCGCGCTGGCGACGTCGTGGGTCGGCGCCGATGACATGCCCAACGCCGCCCCAGAGGCCGGCATCGTCTCGGCTGGCGAGCTCGTCGACGCGCTGCCTGAGTACGTGACTGCGCTGGAGGCATCGGTTGCGGTGGCGGGGGCGGACCTCTCGCTCCTGCACATGCAGCAAGTCTACGAGCTCGTTGACGCGCTCTGGGGCCACGCGTCGAGCGTGATCGACGGCTACGGCGCTCCCGACGGGCCTGCTGCCGGACAGTCTGCGCTCTCACTGCCATCACCCGAGGCCAAGGCGCTCGAGGTGTACCACGACTCGGTGAAGCGGACAACGCAGCTTTCAGAGTGGCTGGCCCGCGCGGTGAGCGCGGCGGTCGAGGCACACGCGAACGCGGCGGGGAACGAGCTCGACGGTGCCGAGGTTCTCCTGGAGCAGCTCTTTGCCGCGCTCTCGGGCTGCCAGCTCTCGACTGCGGCGCAGCATGCGCTCGCGCTGCGCGACTTTCGGCTAGCGACGGTGCTGGCACAGACGCCCGGATCGCCGACCAACACGGCTGATGTGGCGGCACAGCTGGCGCTCTGGCGTGAGCTCGGCGCCGACAAGTACGTGGCGCCCAAGCTGTTCCGCATTTACGCGTTGCTGGCCGGCGACGCTGTGACTACTGCCGCCGGCCTCGACTGGAAGCGTGCGCTCGGGCTGCAGCTCTGGTTCGGCTCGGCACCGAACGCAACCATTGCATCTGTGCTCGACGCGTACACCCGCGAGTGGCGGAACCCGACGCTCGACCTCGTGGCGCCGCCGCTGGCGCACTATCTCGAGTCTGGAGCGGTGGCACCCGAGGCGAACTCTGCGGCCGAGGCGGCGGCGGCGGTCGCTGCGCTAGCCGATGAGCCGGCGCGGTTGGACACGGCGTACCACCTGCTCCATCTCTACTGCGGCGAAGGCGGCGATGCACTCGAAAAGGTGCTCCTCCCGACCACTGCGTCGCAGTGGGGCCTCGACGAGCGGATGCCGTGGACGCTGTACCGGATCCTTCGCGGGCTCGGGTACGCGGACCTGCGGCCGGCACAGGCGTACAAGCTCCACGGCTCGTTTGCGGCGCAGCTGGAGAACGTCGGGCTGTGGGAGTGGGGAGTCTTTGTTCTCCTTCACTTGCCCGAAGGCGAACGGCGGCGGGCGGCAGTCCTTGCGCTCCTCGAGCGGCACGTCCGGCCGGAGAGCCTCACGCCGGAGCGGCAGTCGTTCCTGGTGGAGACGCTCGGCCTCCCGCGGGCGTGGCTCCACCACGCCAGCGCCGTTGCAGCGCTGTACGATGGCGACTACGAGGCCGTGGCGCGGCACTGGTTGGAGGCCGGCGAGCCGTCGCGGGCGCACGAGGTCATTGTCAGCAAGCTCGCGCCGCAGGCGGTGCTCGACGAGGACTCGGGCGTTGTGCTCGAGCTCCTCGAGGCTGTCGAGGCCGAAGCTGACCGGGTCTCCGGCTGGGCTGCCCGCGGCTGGGTCTTCCTCACCTATCTTCGCGCTGTGCCCGAGGTCGAGTTTATCGTTGTCCAGCTGCCGGACGAGCTCTCTGCGCTCAAGGCGTCCAACGCCACCAGCGGCCAGCGGCAGCTCCACACCCAGCTGGTCGAGCTCGACGGGCAGCTCTCGCACCTGGCCATGGTGCTGAGCCAAAGCGAGTGGGCCGCCTTTGCCGCCACCGCTCTCGTCGTCCAGGTCTGTGGCACCGAGATGGCAACGCGGACCGCGCTCCTCTTGGCACGGATCAAGGCCACGCTGCAGGCTGTCAACGACTCGGTCGCGCTCTCGCAGCTGAGCGACTCGCTCTCGTCGGCCAACATGATGCACGGATCGGGCATGCTCCAGGTCGAGCTTGCCCTCTCGGCCCCGCTCCCGCCCAACTACCGCATTTCGGTTCTCAACAACATGGCCTACGAGTATGCCAAGATGATCGAGGTGTAGACCCGTCGATCCAACCCGTCGATCCAAACCCCTCGACCCAACCCCTCGATCCAAACCCACGAATACACACATAGATTCACACGGGTTCGAATGCGTATTCGAAGGTCTCCACCATCCTCGCTCGCATTGTAGCGGCGGGCAAGTGGCCAATGGCTGGTCGGCTCGTCGGCCTGCAAGCCGTTTTGGCGAGTTGAGGCCATCTCCCCATCACGGCTGGGCCCAACCGCACCACCTCTCGTTGCAGGCTAGCCTCGCCGCAGAGGAAGGCAGGAGATAGGGAGCAAGGTATAGGCATACACTTGACGAGTGGCAACATGCCGCGGCTGACACGGGAGGAGCGTATGCTCCAGATGTACATCCGTCAGATTGAGCGCATGGAGGGCGTCAAGTACGAGGAGGAGGACAAGGACAAAGACAAGGACGAGGCAGGGGCGGCCACCACCACGGCCACCACCACCACGGCCACCACCACCACCACCACCACCACCACAGCCACCGCAACAGAGGAGACGGCTCCCGCAGACGCAGACGACTCGGAGGGTCTGGGCGGGGAAGGCGAGGCTGGCGGTGGCAAGGCCGACGGCAAAGGCGAGCTGGTGGCCTCCGCCATGGAAGGCGACTCGGAGGGCGAGCAGGCCGACAAGCCGGTGGGGAAGCCGGCGGGGAAGCCGGCGGACAAGGTGGCGACGGGGAAGGCGACAAAGGCGACGGCGAGCGGAAAGGCGGTCAAAACCAAGGCCAAGCCAAAGCCCAAGGCCAAGCCCAAGGCCAAGCCCAAGCCAAAGCCCAAGGCCAAGCCAAAGCCCAAGGCTAGGGCCAAGCCCAAGGCTAAGGGTGGCAAGGGTAAGACGTCGGCAACAGCGACGTCTGCGTCCAGCACAATGGAGCCTTTGGCGGCACAGTCTCTGCCGGCATCAGGTCTCGCCAATGACGCCGCAGCTCCTGTTTCCGCTGCCCCGGCTGGTTCTGGTGCCGGCGCCGATGCGGTGACGGGTAGTCTTGCCGGTGGCGAGGCTGAGTCTGTGTCTGCAACGCCTGCGACGGCGCCCGAAGCCACAGCAACCAAGGGCAAGGGCAAGGGCAAAGGCAAGGGCAAGGGCAAGGGCAAGGGCAAGGGCAAGGGCAAGGGCAAGGCGGCTGGCGGGACGAGCAAGGGCAAGGGCAAGTCGGCAGCAGCAAAAAAAGCGGCGGCGGCCCGCGAGCAGGCTCTGGTTGGGCTCTCCGCAGCCGAAGCCGAGGCTCGGAAGCGGGCGTTTGAGACAGACTTTACGCCGGACGACGGAAACGGGCGTGTAGCGCGAAAGCGCAAGGCGCCGACGGGCCAAGGAGGTCGAGCCGGAGCAAGCAAGCGATCGCGCGCGCTGAGCGGCGGAGCGCGCGGCTCGGGTAGCAAGTCGAGCGGCGAGGCCGTCGAGTATGAGTATGAGGAGTACGAGGAGCTGATCGACAATCCAAATGGGGTGCGGCTCTCTGCGCCACCGTCGCCGGTGACGCGGGCGGCAGGACGCGGGCGGGCACACGCGCTGGCGTCACTGGCGGTTGTTGCGCTCCCGACGGGCGAGGCGGCTACGCCGGCGTCCCCAGGCGCGGTTGTCTCGCCGAACGCCGCCGCCATGCCGTTTGCTTTTATCAAGCGGCACCGGATCCTGACGGCGCAGACGGCAGCAGGCCAAGGCGGCTCGGCGGTGCCACCGTTCACGCCGCCGCGGGCTGCAGCAGGCTCGCGGCTGGTGCCCAAGAAGCACCGGGTGCTGCGACAGGCCTCGCAGCTGCGCGGAGCCAACGCACCGGCAACGCCAGTGGTGGGCAGATGAGAGAGGAGCAAAGACACGCAAGTGTGAGAGAAGTAGGGGGAGGAACCTCGTTTTATGCAAGCTACGAGCTGTCGCCGCCGAGGAACGAGGGCAGCGACGGGACAAACGACGAGGCCGACGGGAACTCGTGCCACGAGATGTAGAGGAGCCAAAAGACGAGGAAGAGCTTGAAGAGGAAGGTGAGCGAGAACCAGCCATCGGGCTCGGTGTCGGACTTGAGCGAGGAGATGGCCGACTTGATCGAGTTGAGCTCGCGGCGGGCCTTGCGGTCGGCCTTGTCACGGGCCTTGAGGTCTGCGCGGATGTCGGCGACGTCGCCGAGGAGGGTGGCCACCTGGGCGGCGATGGCCTCGTGGGCCTTGCGGGTGTCGCGGACGCGGGCTGTGAGCGTGCCATACTCGGAGGCGCGCAGCGGGTAGAGCTCACCGTCGTCGTCCGAGGCCGTGTACGACTCGTCGGTGTAGTCGTAGGTGTAGTCGGACGAGCCGGCACCGCGGTCGAGGTCCGACGACCAGCCCGAGTCCGAGCCGCGGTCCGAGCCCGAGCGGGCGCCCGAGCCAGTGAGGCGGTCGAGCTCGTTCTTGGTCACTGAGCGAATGATGCCGTTCTCCTCGACCTCCATGACCTCGTTGTCCCAGTCGAACGGGGCGGTGTTGAGGTGCTTGTAGGTAAAGTCGGGGAGGGTGACGTCCGGGTCGTTCTGCACAAAGTTGATGAGCTGCCACTCCTCGCCGGCAGCGTCGCGGGCGATCTTGTCCTCGCGCTGCTTCTGCTCAAGCACGTACTTTTCCTCGGTGGCGGCGACCTGGTCCTGCTCGATGATGGCCTGGGTGACCTTTGCCCAGAGCTTGACCGACTCGGTCGGCAGCTGCTCGTCGTAGGCCGGGCGCTTGTAGGGAACGAGAGCTGCGCGCTTGCCCTCGGTATCCCACATCTCATAGGTGCCACCGGTGCGGACGTCGGTGTAGTCGATGCGCTCGTTCCACTTGCCCGAGATGGTGTAGCAAACCTCCTCGCCACCCGAGGGCATGCGCTTGTAAATGCGGCCGGTGATGGCGTTGTACGTGCCGCCAACCATGGGCTTGGCCTTGAACTTGAGCTCGGTGACGTAGCCGGTCTTCTCGCATGCGATGGTGACCTTGTCGGTGATCTCCGACTTGAGGGTGGTGAACCAGCCCGAGGCCTTGGCCTTGGGGTAGTTGAGCACGTACTGCTCGTCACGGTTGGTGAGAGTGATCACACCGCGGCCGTACATGATGGCAAGGACGTGGGTGATGTTGAACCGCGACTTGAAGCGGATGGCGGTGTTGACCACAAAGCCGGCCTTGCGGTTGGCGACGTAAAAGGCCGAAATCGGCGGGTGGTGCGAGACCTGCTCGGCATAAAAGTGCGTCCGCGACGGGAACGGCAGCGCCTCGGTCGGCGCAAGGTCCCACGCGCAGCGGAACGTCTCGCCGAGAATCGGGTTGTACGGCTTCTTCACACCCTTGGGCCCGAGGTAGAAGCCCGAGAGGTACCACCGCGTCAGTTGGAGCATCCGCGCCTCAGGCGTGTCAAACGTCGTCACCGCCGCGAGCAGGTCATTGTGGGCGAAAAAGTCGGTCATCTTCTCCAGGAACGACCGCGGCTCCAGAATAAACGTCGGAAGGACTACCTTGGACAGGTCCATTCCGGGGCGGACCTGCTTCAGAAGCGTCTTGACCAGGCCCTTGTTCTCGCCCTGGATCTCGTCGCCGCCGAGGTCGATCGATTCAGAGTCCGCCTCCTCATCCTCGTACCGCGTCCCAATCACAGGCAACTCACCCGAGTCTGCCTTCTTCTCGCCGCGCCGCCGCCGGACCCGGACCTGCCGCCGCCGCCGGACCTTGCTGCCCGAGGGACCGGCTGAGGCCCCGGCCACTCCGCCGTCGTCCGAGTGCGAGTGCCCGTCCTCCGCCGCCCGCGACGCGAGCGTGTTGCCCGACACGATGATCTGCGACTCTGTTGTGTGTGGCAGTGGTGGTAGTAGTGTGAGTGATGCAGATGCGTGTGAGCTGGTTGCTGGCGACGGTGCTGGCGGTGGTGAAGGCGATGGCGATGGCGATGGCGATGGCAACGGTGATGTGGTTGATGACGTGGACAACAACCCGAGTTGATACACAGCCCCGACCATCCACCGGAGGTAACCCCCTCCCCCCCCCCCCCTCCTTCCCCCGCCACCGCCCCATCAGAGCAGCAGCCCATGTGGCCATGTGACAACAGCTTCCACTGGGAAGAAAATTTCCACCTGGCGACTTCCTGACCACCACCACCCAGCCCAGCACCGACAGGTGCAGGCATGGACTGAGGCAGTCACCATGACCCCCCAACCCCTCCTCCCTGGTGGTAATGGTGGTAATGGTGGCAAGGGGGGGGGGTGGGGGGGAGGGGAGGGACTCGACAGGGCAGCGACGGAGACGTACGGAAGGACTCGCCGTTGATGGCAGCCCGGATGGCGACAAGCCATGCGTCGAGCATGGCGAGAGTGGGGACACGGAAGATGGCATTGTCAACCTTGTACCCAGCAGCACCATGCATGATACTCTTGCCTGAACGTTCTTTGACTTTGAAGCAGAAGCCTCCCTTCTTGGTCTGCCTCTTGGTCACCGTGCACTTGCCGGCAAGCGCTATGGCTGCCTCGGCCTTGCCCCACTCGGCCTTGGTAGCGTCCTTGAAGATGGACAGCGTGCTGCCTACAAGCACAGCATACCGTGTCGTCCACTGCTTGAACATGCCCCGGAGCTTCACTGTGCCTTCCACTCGTGATTCGCCATGGCTCATCTTGCCTCGCTCCATCCCTTGGCGAAAGGTGTGCTGTCCTCTCGGCTTGTCGCTCTGGCTCCTGTTCTCGGCCTCACCGGTCAGTCGGTCGGTCACTGGCCTGGCTCGCTACGGACTATGGGGGAAGGGGGGGGGGGGGGGGGGGGGGGGCGATGGGGGCCATGATTGATTATTGTCGATCTCATGGCAATGGTGATGGGTCGGCATGTGCATGCGCGTATCCATGTGCATCCGCATGTGCATACTGCCGTAATGATCTGCAAGCGGCATGACGGGGCGACGGCACGAGCAGAGGCGATGGCTTGCCATGCTTGGTTGCGTCGTCCGCGCGTAGACTCACCCATGGTATTGGGACATATCCGGCAGACACACATCCTAGAACTTGCTCTCGGGCATCGGCACCACGTATGACGGCCCCAGCAGCTCTGGCAGCTGAGTCTCGCGATCGTTGCGCGCGCCAAGGAACGAGGTGAGGAGTGGCGGGTCAGGCCGTGCAGGAGGGCCGTTCCAGTACACGAGATCAAAGCCGCCGACTTGCAGTGGATACCGGGTCGGAAGCAGGCCATCGAGGTTGAGCAGGGCGAGCGTGTCCGAAATGAGCCCAAACTTGAGGTTGTAGTCTTCTTGGTTCTCGGCAGACATCGACGGCGAGGCATTGACTTCGAGGAGCCACGGCCGCAGCTCGTCGTCGAGCAGCACGTCGTAGCCGTAGAGCTCAAACGCGGCCTTGTCCGACGCAATGACCTCCTCGACTCCACGGAGCGAGGCCACAATCAGCTCTTGGATCCGCGCAAAAGCCGCGTCGATTGTCGACGCAGAGTGCCGCGTCAGGAGGTACCGCTTGAGGTTCGCCAGCCGCCACTTGGCGCCCGACTCGGCGGCGTAAGACGCGGACTTCTTCTGCACCGCCACGTTGGTCAGATGCATCAGCGAGTTGGACAACTCGCTGGCGTCTGCGCTGAACCGCACCGACGAGAACCGCGCAAAGCCGGATCGGTATACGTACACCACCAGCGGTGAGTACGAGAGAACTGCCACGTACAGCCGCAGGTCGAACTTCTTGCCGCCGATCAAGTATGGGTTGGTGACGTACTGCTGGACAACGTACGCGTCGCCTCCGGCCGACGCTGCAGCCGCAGCGGCCGGCGTCGCCACCCCCGACGACGACCCACCCCCACTGCTCGCCATCGCGCCCACCCCGGGTGCGTTCTTCCGCCACGACGATACCTGCGACAGCTTGTTAAACAGAAAGATGCCGCGGCCCTGCGAGCGCGCAATCGGCTTCATGATCCACGTCGCGCCACGGCTCCGTCGAAACTCCTCCAGAAACAGCGCGTAGTCTTGCGGGAGTGCATACGACGCCGGGAGGATGTCGTAGTACGCCGCGGCCACCGCGTTGCCGGCCTTCATCGCCATCCGCCGCTTCGCCTTGAGGTTCTTGGTCATCAGATCCTTCCGCGTCAGCTCGTAGTGATTGCGAAAGTGGTTGATCCGTGCGCCCGTCGCCAGCCGCCGCCCGCTCATTACGTCCCGCACCGTGTTGCAGTCGCCCCACAGCACATCCCACCCCTCGTCGCTCGAGCTCAGGGCCCCGCTCCCGCCCAGGGCCCCGGTCTCCCGCGGGAGCTCGACCCGGACCCATCCGTCCTGTGCCTCGAGCGCGTCGCGTACAATGTTGCTTGAAGTCGTCGCCCATCGCACCGCTCTGGCTCGTCTGCGCCGCCGCCCGCCACCTATCCCTGCGCCCGAGGAGGAGCCCGGCACCGACGCCGACGCCGATCCCGATGTTGCGGCTCGCAGGCTTGCCGGCGACGAGGTCCGCGACCGCATAGCAAGGCCACCGTCTCCGTTGCCCGCCACATCTCCGCCACCGACCCCGCTCCCCGCCACCATCGCCAGCGATGGCGTCGACGCCGACCGACCGCCATCCAGCCGAGTCATCAGCCGGGCCGACACCTTCATCTCGCCACCCGTGCCCGATCCAAGCCGCCCAGCCCGGGAGCCGCGTCCGCGTCCGCGTCCGCGTCCGCGCCCACGACCTCGCCCACGACCTCGCCCACGACCCCGCCCACGACCTCGCCCACGACCTCGCCCGCCTCCACCATGCCCACCATGCCCACCACGTCCACCACGTCCACCACGCCCGCCTAGCCCGTCCCCATCTCGTTCGCTTGCAGAAGGCGGCGGTGGCGTGCCTGGCACCCGTCGTGCGGCCCGGCGGCGAGACAGTCCAGCCGGGCGGTCTGCCATGTCGTGCTTGGAGGAGTGGGTGGGCGCTGGGGCTGCGCGCGGGGAGGACAGGGATGTGGGGGCAGGGGACGATGCGGAGGACAACAGGGGCAATCCGTAATCCGGCGATGGTCACCACGACGACCACGACGACCACGACCACCACCAATGCCCATCAATGCCCATCACACTCGCCGCCAATACCACCAAATCCACCCAATCCGCCCCCCCCCCC